GGAAGCAGTATGCCTACCTTTGCAGTTTTAAAAATAATTATTTGCTGTTTTAAAAATTTTAACATCATTTCTTATTTCTTATCTACTTATATAAGCACAGTTCCTCCAATATCAACACTGAGATTTCGCTTCTTTACAAGGTGCAGAGCTAGCTGTCTCCGTTAAATACTGAAAACTGTAATTGGATTCATAGATTTCTTATTATTATCTCAGCATCGATACTTTAAACCATAAATGGTAAAAATCATTAATTAAAAGATTCAAAGTTGTAATTAAGCTCTTCAGAGAAATTATACAATCAGAGTAACTGGGACTAAAGAGCAAAGGTAATACAAATTCTTTTAATTTCATTTTTAATTTTTTGGAGTTCAAAGTTCTTTACATTAGTTTCTTATAATCATCTTTACTATAAGTAGATACTACTCTCTTTTACTGATAATATAAATGAACTCCAAGTGTGATTGAGAGTAAAAATCAAACATGCATCCTTCAAGCCAATTAAAATCTTGAATACAAATCTCCTGATTGGAAGTCCAAAGCCATGTCTGTCAGCACATGATTGCATTTCTTTTCCTAGACGTGGTTTTGAAACCCATATGGATGATTCAGACCAAAGTTGGTAGCATCCATTTCATATTTCCAAGCAGTCTTCTCCAGAAATTCAGGCTACTATCACTGTCTACTGGAAGAAAAGTGATTTTTATTTTTAAGATGGTGGCCACATGAAAAAACAAAGCACAACCATGTTGATAACAGAGGTCCCTTTCTCCTTTTTTATGTTCCATTATTCTCACTTTGTTTCTCTCCTTCAGTTTTGGTTTTGTAGTTTTACAATTTCATTATCCGTTACGTTTCCCATTTATTATACTTCTATTTCATTGCTGTTTTAATATTGTTTTACTTTGAGGTAAAGAGAAAGCAAAATGGATTCCAACCTACGGAAAGCGGATAAGATTTCAGTTGAGGCTTAGATGGTTACAAACCCATCCGCAGGCAGAACAGCAGCCCAAAGGTGTGGAAGAGAAAAGCAGGGCTAGTTTCTGCCTGCCTCCCCATAGACTACCCTGGAAGAATCTCAGACCTTGCATAGGTGGTAGAATTGCTTTACTGAATCAGTATTTCAGCTGAAGCGGCTAACAATTGATGCCTGTCAGACTTTGGCTGTAATGTGAACTCAGTGGAGAAAATACATGCTGAGGTATATTATGTTTGCCAGAACTTGACCATGACAAAAAGGTGAAGAACGTATGAAGTGAGGTCAGGAAAGGAAGTAAATATGGTAGCATGGAACAAAAGAAATTACTTAGCCTTATATGTTTTATGAAATGAATATTTAGTTCTTTGCTATTTATAATACATTTAACATTTTAATTCCACAGAGAATTGCTTTTCTTTTGATAATTAGAATTAGAACCATTGTGTGCTAAGAGGAGAATTTACATGTAATTCTTTGAGTGTGAAGAACTGTATCATATTCATCTTTAACAATACCAGAAATCTTGCCACAGTATGCAGGTTATATTAGACAAGTTCAATTTGACTCAATTCCTAAATATCATCAAATCCACATTAGAAACATAAGGAGTTTTTAAAAATGATTTTCAAGTTCTCAAACTTTGTAAAATGCTGTTTTTAGCAAACCACATAATCAAGAATGGCAGCCTAAGCTCTATAATTTGTTAAAATGTAAACATTTCTTGCTGTATCCAAGATGTATGTGAAGTAAATATCTTGATTATAAAGATCTGAGTAATACTAAATAAATAAAAATAACACAAAGCATATCATAATAAAACAAATAAAATAAAAACATATTATAACTGGTTTTCTACACCAAAGTTATCATAACAACAATTACCTGGATGATTAAAATAAAAACCAGGTTTTCTTTTTACAAATAATGGACATAAATTTAATTTAATGCCAGATATGTCTATTAATGTACATATCTGACACTAATCTATTAAAGAATTATCTTAAAATTTCATAATTATGTAAGTTGTATAAATAAGCTTAGTGCTTCATTTTACCTTAATTAAAACACACAAAATAAAAACATACCCATTTATCTATGCCATGTATCTTAGACATTTTATTTTAGATATTATCATAAAACTTCCCATTTGATGTTACTAAATTTCAATTGTAGATTCATTCCTCCAGACCTATAGCAAGATAATACATTTATCATTATTTTAATAATCAAAATGTCATTTTCATTTTATTGGACTGATTTTTTGTTTTTAGAAATCTAATCTGTCAAAAGTCTAATCAACTGAGAAATAATTTTAAAAGAGAATAATGAAAAATATTCCTAGACTTGTCTTTATGACTGAAAACTATGAGAGAAAAGCAGGGGTTAAAAATTATCCTTTTACCACCCACCCACACATAGATTTTGAGGAGGCTCCTTTCACACTTTTTCCTCCTGCAGTATTTGTTACTTAAGGATGTCTGTAGGTGGGTAAGATGTTATTATCCCTCCTACACGCACACTTTTTTTTGTATTTACATTAAATCTCCATGTATATAAGTGCTTGAAACACCAACCCCTTTCTTTCAACTACTTTCTGAAATTTGGACCACACATTATCACATGTTACCTTTCTATAGAATGCATATAGTTAATTATAGTTTATTCTGAATTTTTTCAACTTTCAGTCCATTCAGAAAAGTTATTTGTAGATAGTTGTTTTTCTAACTAAACATTTTTGTTTGAAAACTGAATTCCATAAACAGCATGTCTTAGATTCAAAAATAATAATACAAAATTATTCTTTGTATTGATTAATTTTCTTAAGGACTCACAGAGGATAAAATCACCGGGAAAAGCTACGATTTTTATGCAGTATTTATTTCTTCTCACTCTACAAATCACTTATATGAATGAACGCACATTTGTAGATCATGTTGGAGACATAGTAAACATGTTTTATCTAAATAAAGTTAACCTTTCAAATCATTTCATCTGAATAAATAGATCAACAGTTAGATTTGAAAACCTCCTATAAAATGTATACTAACAAGTTAATATACATTTTATGAAACCTTTATATTCCTTTTATATTGCAGTAAAAATATTCCCTCAAATGCAGTAAATGACAGTTATTCTCTTGAGCAAATAAGTTAAACTATTTTTTAAATCATCAGACCTAATCTACATTGCTAATGTAATACTCATTTATCTAAAAAATAAAGTAAAATCTAAAAAAGTAAAAATTGATGTACTTTAAAGTGACCTTAGATTTGGAGGTTTAATGATATAATTTATGATAGCCACACGTATAAGTGCCTTGCAAATAAATTTGTTCTCTTTATTTTTCAGATCAATGTACTCTGGTTGGGAATTTTAACTTTTGTTAAAATAAATGAAAAATATAATCATTAACCACAAAAATGCTTGCAAAGATGCCCTAATTATTAATTAAATATACACTATTGAAAATACATCCTACAGAGGTCATTTAGAAAAATCACTAGGTAGGATTGTTGGATTAACCAATCCCAAGTGATTCAACCACTTCTGGGTAATTCAAAGGAAGCTGATTCTGACTCCTCTGATACCTTGGAAACAGGAACTCCAACAGAATACAGAGGCAAGAACATCTTCTGTATAGCCGAGGTAGTGAGTTAAATATATTTTATGTATAACCCAGTGGATATGTGAAGTGAAATTGTGCGCGTCATTCTAGCTTCAGTTTTTAGGTTGCAGTTATTATCAAGTTATTAAGCTTTTTTGGCATCTTGTAAAATAAAAAAATAAAATAAAATAAAAAAATAAAGAAATTAAATCAGTACTTCAGAGCAAAGTAACACAAAGATATTTTTAAAAAATTATTTGGTTAAAATAAAACTATTCAGCCTCTAATTTAAAAAGTAGTTCATGCCACTAGGGTAAATATTCATTACAACTTTCAAAACAACTGTTTTAAAAACATATGCATAAAGGTGAAACTTTGTCCAACTTCAGTTAAAAAAAAAATCATTTGGAAAATTTATAATGAAGATTCAATCAATCAATAAAATCTTGTCATTAAGTACATCAAATTTTAAAAAATTCTGGCTCTTACACACTTATTAAACACACAATGAAATAAAGAAAACACATGCATCTCTAATTTTAGTAAAAAATAAATAGACTAATTTAATCTAAGAAGTAAAGATACCATCTTATTTTCATTGGTCTAAATTCTAAAAAAATTTTTTTTATTTTAGAGAGCGGAAAGAAGAGAGGGAGAGAAACGTCAACTGGCTGCCTTCTGCATACACCCCAACTGGGGACTGAACCTGCAACCAGGCATGTGCCCTCACCAGGAATCCAATTGGTAACCTTTTGGTTTGCTGAAAAATGCCCAATTAACTGACCCACACTGGGCCATTGGGTTCAGTTTTGTTCAGTTTTTTTCACTTTCATTTTATGAGCTCAATCTCCTTCAAATTATTAATTTAATAATTAAGACCCTGTTTACAAGGTAGTTATAAATGTGTTAATATTAATACTTGGTAATTGATAGTAATATTATTTAAAAAAAACTATTTAAATGATTTTCTCATGAGTTCTTTTGCCCTATCAAATATGTTCAAAATCTTCTATTAGAAAGTTTGACATGAATATCTACCCCAAGTATAATTCAGACACAAACAAATAAACAGTGAAGATTAGATACAGAATTCTTAAGTATATCAATTCATAAATATATCAAATAATTTGCATGATATATGCATTTACTTAACCAGGAGAATAATATTTTTTGTTTTAAAAAATATTTTGGTTAAAATAAAACTATTCAGCTTCTAATTTAAAAAGTAGTTCATGCCACTAGGGTAAATATTCATTACAACTTTCAAAACAACTGTTTTAAAAACATGTGCATAAAGGTGAATTCCTAAATGCAACTTGTGAATTCCTCTCACATATCTATAGAGGTGAATATATAAGTAAGTATCTACAAAAACTATCCATATGTAAGTCCTTAAATATATAAAAAGGCACCTCCTACCTCCATCTCCAGATCCGGATCCTGCATCTAGGAGAGAAAACAAAACAAAACAAAACAGAACTTTGTTTTTGCTTGAAAAACATCTTCAAAAATATTTATGGCTCTTTTTAGTTCATGTTTACTTTCTTCAATAAGATACTAGTATAATTGAGAAAACTTAATATTTAATCTGAAAATGTGTATTCATATTAATTTCATTTTGTTTCTTTTATTGTTGTTCAAGTATAATTTTCTCCATTCTACAGCATAACTTATAAATTTTATATTGCTTTCATACTTAAACTTTATGAAAGAAAAGATTATCTAGCTTTAAAGTAATTCCTAAACTTCACTATGTAAAGTCTTCCATATGTTTATTTTAGTCAGGACAAATTTAGTGCCATTAACAAAAATAATTGAAAATGAGATGCCTAAAATAATCAGTGAGATTTAGACATTAAACAATCCAAGGAAACAAATAAAGTCATAATTAAGGTTTATATTCTGGTAAATCACATATATACAATGAAAAAATAGTTTACCAATAAATATCTTTTTATATAATTGTTAATATGTTTCCAAATACCACAATTGTGGATGAGTCTATCTAATAGCAAGAGCATCTTTTGTTTTTGAAATCAGTAGGAGAGTGAAATTAACTTTCTCTTAAAATTGAATATACTGTAAATGATGCTTGCAATTAAAAAAAAATCCCTTCTGTGGTTTTCTTTCCCCATTTCTTCTCACTTCTCTCTCCTACATAATTACAACTGATCAGAGTTGTCTATTTCTGAGAACTCAGTTCCCAGAAACACCCAATTTTCTAATTGGAATCAACACCACTGAGTTTCCATCTGCTTCCACCTGTTAAGTGTAGACATCATCTTCTTTTTACCTCCCTACTTCTTTCCGTTCAAAGTACATTTGGTTACATATTTTTAATGTTAATTCTGGGAAATAAGATTATTACTAGTACTCTCTGATATGCCCCCAATTAACACTGAAATCTCAACCAGAGTTTAAGAACTATATCAAATGCTACTTCTAAAAATTTGCGTTTGATGTTTTAGTTCAACTAAAAATAAAACATTACTTCTACCTGTTTGCCAGCATGAGACTGTATTAAGAACCACTGCCTAGAAAGAGGCATAGTACAGAAAATCCACAGAAGGCTGACACATAGGGAAGAATAGATGCCTTCTCAGTGACCCCCTCGTTATGGTAGGCTTTAGCACTGCCATGAAAGAGCAGGAGTTTCAATTGTCAGCCTTGGTGGAAACTGATATTAACTAAATTCACAGGGTCTAACACTGTATAAAATCAGAATGCCAAGTCTTTAACTAACTGCTAATGTGACTAAGACTCATGTCTCTGGGCCACAATACCCTTTCCTTAAAGACAAACTAGTTGGTAAAACAATTTATAATTAAAAAAAAAACAAAGCCTTTTCTAATAAGTATAGAAAAAAAGAGTTTAATCATATGATCTGACAATTTATTGATAAAAAAAGGTTGACGCATTCATTTCCGTAGCAGAACAGTCTTGTCAACTAACCTGATAATCATAAGTCATGGTCCTATCACTTTTGGACAGGACAGTGCTTAAACGGTCAATATGTATCAAGTCTCCTTTAATATACCTTCACAACTAAAATTTTAACTTATTTTATTTAATTTGAAAGTTAATTCAATATCACAATAATCAAGTTATAATAACGGGTTATACTATTACAGCATTAATACATTCTACTTGTGCTTTAGTCAAAAGTGTGTAGTTTCTTACTCTTTTGTCACCAAGATGGTAAACTTTACAGCAAGGTCCATGCTTGTTCAGCTTCTTATACTTACATGCATAAAAGAGGAAATGCATAAAAACTTAAGGATTCCAAGCTGTAATCATTCGGACATTACTCATTGGATGACATAAGAAATGTCATTCAATCTTCCTACTTAGCTTATTCAGTCTATTGAATGGAAACAATAATGTGCATTCCGTTTGGGTTATTTTGAGGATTACTACACAATAGCATTTTTTAAAAGATTTTTTATTAACTTATTTTTAGAGAGGGGAAGGGAGGGAGAAAGGGAGAGAAATATCATGTGTGGTTGCATCTCACATGCCCCCTGCTGGGGACCTGGCCTGCAACCCAGGCCTGTGCCCTACACTGGGAATTGAACCAGCGACCCTTTGGTTTGCAAGCCAGTACTCAATCCATTGAGCCATACCCTTTAGGGCACAATAGCACTTCAAAAATCTTTATCACTGTGTCTGGAACATAATAATTAACAATCTGAATAAACGTCTTGCCTGTTCATCTATAGGTTTTCTAATAAATGTACACTGCTGGGGAAAATCAAGAAAATGACAGTAGAATTTCAATTTGTATTTCCCATGTATGTTTCCAAAAATTCATGCATTATGGTTCGTAAGACAATTTGCATTTGATTTGACACATATTGATTATTTAGAAAAGAAAGGAGGAATAAATTTTTAAAAATGGTCCGTTAGGTTCATGACATCATTATCAGATAGTGATGGAAAGCTTTAATGATTTGTCTACTATGAGATGAGTCTTGACAAACAAGAGATAAGCAGCTTACTAAAACCTTATTAGAGAGACAGAACCACACAAGGAAAGAAGTCATGTGGTTGGACTCGAATTTGGGTTCCTAGTCAATCCATTTCTTATAAGACAATCAAGTAAAATTGACAGTGAGGCTATTGACCAGATATCCCAGTAGAAAACCACTTTCTGTACAAAAAAAAATGATGTTTAAGTTCAATGAAATACGGTGTGGTCAAAGTAGGCTTACAGGTGGTCACATGATTAATATAATAGCTTGACTGACTCTGTGTTTTGCGTACTCACAACCATAAACCTATTTTTGGCCACCCGTGTATAATAAGTATGAAATAATACCTAAAGCCTTTTATTCCCAGAGATCACACCCTGCCACCTTACTCAGTGTCAAACAACATTTAAAAATAAATGGCAAATGTACAAAGAAAAAACTAACAATCTCTTTTAGATCAAAAGTTAGAACTCCAATTTACTTATAGTCACACCGAGTTAATCAAAGTTACTTTGGTACCTCTGTCATTATTTAGATCAAAAATCTTTTCAATTTACAAGTCAATGGAAGATGCACGCAGCAAAACTGGCTTACTAATTAAATCTTGAAGAAATCTAAGTCTGTGAATGAGCTAGGGATGGATTACTCAATTGTGATTGAATTTTCTACTTGGTTAGGTATTTATTTTTATAGTATAACCAACACATTCGGGGCTAGAATGGAAAGATTTGAATTAATCAGAAGAATGCAGACAAGAACTTCGAGAGCAAGAGAAAACAAGAGAGACTTTGCTACCAAATGCTGTTGGACATAATCATAACTTCATGACTGCTTCTTATGAGGACTGTCTTCTGATTCTCATTTGGCTACTCTCAGAGACAGATACCCTATATGATCCTGAACAAGCAAACCCTTTCCTTAGTCGTCTCTGGTATTTGCGTACATCATTCCTCATTTCTGGGAGTCAGAGGTTTCTTCTTCTTTTTTTCTATTCAATTTGTCCTAAAGTCTCATTTTATACTTTTTGTTAATTAGGTTTGGTACTTTGTTTTTTCAAAATTTGTGTTCTCTTTGCCCTTCTTTCTAGTTCCCCTGTCCTTACTAAGAGTAGCACGCTGGTCCTCCTCCTTTCCTACAGAGGAATATGGTCCAGAACTCTCACGTGTTGCTATTACTTTCATTCATTACTTCTCATTCACAAGTCAACAGCAATAATCTGCCTGCTCTGGCAAATAAGAAGTAAGTGGAGCACCAGTCCAACTTGCCTTCTGATCACCCTTCCAGAAGGACATTTGCAATGTGAGGCAAATAATCACGTAGGAGAAGAAACTACTTAAAAACTAAAACTGAAACCAGAAAGCCTGCATCACTGTCCATGAGTGGTGATGCTTTTCTCTTCCCCTAATTCTTAAAAACTTTGGTAGTTTCCAGTACACTTAGAATATTATCAATTACTACTAATCAATAGGCTTAAGATAATCTCTTAGAGAATGAGACTTTCTCATTGCTCATTTACCACCTTGCCCTAGTCAGTAGATGCATAACTTTTAACCTAATTCCTTAGAATAGAATAGGCAGAGACAAATGTATTTGAAAAAATAAATTAAAATAAAATTTAAAAAAAAGAATAGAAATACCTGTTATCTAAGAGGTAATTTTCAATAATTTTCAATAAAATAAACTTTTCCAAGCACTATTCTATATTTCTATTTTTGATATATTTAATATCATTATCATTTTTTCCTAAAAATGCTTATATCATCCAACCCTTTAGGAACTATGACTTTCCAAAAGGATGCATATTTGCCATTAAGGATAACTAATATGGGACACTAAAGTTTCTTTAATATATGTGATTTCAATGTCTCAAGGCTAACTTGAAAACTCAGCTTCATTTTAAAGCATTACTTCATCAAGTTAGACTCTGTTCCTCTTTTTCTTTCTTGCTTATAATGCTGTACAGCTTCGACAACAACTGTATACAAAAGGAAAACCTGAAAAGGTAGAGAGCACATAAAATCACTCTTCCTCCTCACTTTCTGTGTACCATTTTTTGTGCACTATTAACTAAAAAGCTTTGTGGGATCCAAGGCTGACTGTGTCAGAAATGACAGGTGTCCCTAGAAGTAATGTCCACCACCAATACAGTCTTCAAAATAATCTACTAAATGGAAAGAAAACCATTTTGTAGAGCTGCTATGGTTAGTCACATCGTGGCTTCCAAACCCACATCAGCAAAGCTACCCTCCAGCAGGCAGTGCTATTGTTCAAAATAAACAAAAAAAGCAAGTAAATATATTCATGCATAGACGAGTTCCTATGCATTTGACACCTGGGTGCCCAATCTAGATTTCTAATTATATTATTCAACTGCCTTCACTTCATTAAATAATATATGTATTAAAATTTACCAATATCTTTATGGTAGGTTTTCTCTTTCTTGCAGAAGGGATTTGACATGCAAAAAGACATAGAATAAGAATAATGCATACTTTGTAGAAAGGAATAAGATGTTTGTCTATCCAATATACAGTGTGAATTATTTATCTCTAGATAACAGAAAAAGCGAGAGACATAATTTTTGGATTCAGAATTCATTCAGAAGGTTTTAGGGAAGATCATGTACATACCTGTGGCACATGATCCTTCAGACACCACAAGTATCTCACTCTGCTGTTTGCAGGCGGCCTGCCGCAGGTAACACTCATTCTGGTAGCTCTCCCCATTGGAGCCACACACAGGCACGTAGTCATTGTTGCACTGAGAAACAGATATAAGCCTGTGGTTAGTACCAGAGTCTGCAGTCCTCTGACTTCTTGAACAAAAATAATCATTTACAACAGAAAGCACTTGTCTTCCTTTTCAGTGATCCTCATTGTATCCAATAAGTCTTTGACCTTGCAAGAGAATCATTCGAAGAAACACAAAAGCAATGTCAAGTCAGCCAACTAGTCATTTGATTCAGATAGGGAAAAAAAAAAAGCTTCTAAATTGATCTGGCAATTCCAACAAAGTGACCAGAGAAACGATATTAAAAAGAGATAGCAACAAATATATCAATATTATTTAATACTGTTTTTGGAAAAATAAAACATGTTACAATATTAAAGCTATTCAAAAATAGGCAATGCCTATCTGTGTTTGGAGAGCAAAAGTATATACCTGAAATGCCAGAGATTTCAGTTACTCTTTTTTTTAAAAAAAATATTTATTTATTTTTAGACAGAGGGGAAGGGAGGGAGAAAGAGTGGGAGAGAAACATCAATGTGTGGTTGCCTCTTGCATGTCCCTCACTGGGGACCTGGCCCACAACCCAGGCATGTGCCCTGATTGAGAATCAAACTGGTGACCCTTTGGTTCGCAGGCCAGGGCTCAATCCACTGAGCCACACCAGCCAGGGCTCAGTTACTCTTTAGCATGTTTTTTTTCTCTGTTGAATTTTAATCTTTATATATTTCTAAATATTTGGATCACTATTTAATTTTCCTTACATCATTAGATCATGGGATAATCATGTAGATACAGTGTAGAGAGAAACAGATTATGGAATACAGGGAAAAAAATTCAGCAACTACTGAACTACATAGAAACTTCACTGACTATTAAAAAGTATGACTACCAATATATTTCATAAAGAGAAAAGTTCATTTTAAAGAACAGTCATTGCAAAAATGTACACATTTTACAATGGAAAATAGAAAACTAAAAGGGTATAGTCATCATAATACAATCACAGTTTAAGGCATGAGATACTGGATTGCGTCCTATACCTGCTAATTATGCCAAGGATGTGATTGTCTCATGATTACTACTACACATGTTCTTCACTGTTTAACTATAACAAAAACAATGACAAAGATGATTATTTATAAATACTCACCTATGCCAGAAACTGAGTAAAGCAAATCATACATACACATGTATGTGAAAACACTTTGCTGTCTTCTACTTCTTATTAAAATGCTTGGATATTTAATGTATCATAAATGCATAACACTTTGTATTAAACCAATGATCTAGTGAGATGGCTTAAAAAGTTTTAATACATATGATAATAAACCTAAAATTCTATCATAAGTCAAATTAAACTCAAGCATTTATCCTGAGATTTCTATTTTACTCTATTTCCTTACAATATCTGTACTTTTCTCCTTCCCAATCAACCATCTTGTTCTTTGCCTTTATGTAATATAAGCTTAATCATCCTAACAATTTAAAATGGTATAAGCCAATGTTCTCTGAAATGAAAGTCATTTTATGAGCCTTACTTTGTATCAATTAATGAAAAACTTAAATATAGGGTTTCACTAGCCATGATATACTTTTCTCCCAATAGTAAATCCAAACTCTGTGACACTAATATTATGTTCACCATAATTGCTAGCATGGTGATTTAAATATTAAATCATATTCATTCAGAAATTAAATATTATTAAGATAATTTACATATTTAAAATATGGCATATTTTTATAAATCTTCTTTACTTCAACCATTTCTAATCTAGACATTCTGGAAGCCTTCCATACAACAATTCCTTTCTGCAGTTACTCTACTGGCTCCCATAGTCAGTCTGTCTACATGATTACATTTTTAAACAGTTTTGATTAGAACTTTTTGCTAATGAGGATTTTTTACTCAATAACTAATTCGCTTCTGATCAGGTGATAACATGTGTAGGGGCAGCTTTCCATATGTTTTCCAAATATATGTGCTTACATCTGAAAATTGATCAACCACAGGATTGAACATCTTCATCATTACTGAAGAAAAAAGGCAGTAGCAAAATGTCAGTGAAGAGCTGAATTTTCCATAAGCAGTACTAAGGAGACAACACTGCATAAATGGGGCTGGTGTTCCTGTCAGAACTATGGCCAGGTGGATGGATAGGGTGTTTGACAAAAATGATGTGTTCAGGACCAGAGACAGGAGAATATACGGAAGGTATACGAGAACTCATTAACACTACAATGGTATCTGAGCACATGTAGGAGAGACCATAAAGAAATAAACAGCTGGTAACATATTTATTATAGATGATAGATTTGTTAACTCTTTCAGTAGACAGAAGAGAATCATAGTCAGTGCAGATGCTTGGACTAGTTAGCTTCCTTATGCTGGGTTCCTAACATTCTTGTCACTGGTTACCTTTTAATCTCTGTCTCCAACTTTAGTCATAATACTTTGTGTGCTGATTATTTGTGTCCACATTTTCTTCTCTCTGGTTCCTAGAATTTCCCTATCTATCATTCTCATCTACTTCTGCAGATTACTCAGATGTAGTGAGTGGACTGGGAGTGAGGTGTGGGAGGTATTATCTCTGTCAAGAGTGCTAGTACACAATGCAGATATGCATCTTAAAATATGAAAGAAACTGATGAAGTGCTCATATGCCACTTCTGAGGGATGCAGCTAGCCAAATGTGAGCAATGCTAAAAACAGAGCTACTAAGTTCCATGCACAAGCCAAAAGGGAGGTTTGCGTGGAGCTGAAAAGAGCTCAACTGTAGATTGTCCACAAGATGGTTTTTACCCTTTAGTACCATGACTGGCACTCGTGAATATGAATAACACAGAGGAAGCACACTCTAAACCACTACGGCTCAGGGGTGGAAGTCTACTCCTAGGTTCTCCCACTTCTCTCACGGCCTTATCATAGGACGTTGTGTATATTACTCAACAATTAAATATTTAACAAGCTTATAGCTCAGTCTCCCCATTTGAAATGGTTAACTGAAGCATTTAGGAGGTTTGACAGAGTGGTGTTCTTAAAAACACTTTGCAATATTCATTTATTAAAAAAATAAAAATGATTTGCCTTTCATGATAGGCATTGTAACTAGGAGAGTCACTATCATCTAAAATTGACACTAAAATATGCATGTCTAAAATTAGAAAAATAAAGGAAAACTGGATAACCCTAGCATAAAAATAGGCTAAATAGTACATTAAAATATGTCAAGTTGTTTGAAATAGTTTTTGCTGGAAATCATGATACTACTCAGTTTCAGATAAAGAAACATACTAAGATGTTAAGTGACTTGCTAAAGGCTACATAGTTGGCTGGTAAGAGAAAAAACAAGACTCAGGCCCAGATGGTTAGGCCCATAAATGTATGTGTTGTACAAACTTCCTCTCAGGGAAAAAGTGATTCTATTTTTTTGTAAGATGTTTTAAAATCTTAAATTTATTTTACAAATATGTGTTTTTCAGAATGATTTTGTTCCAAAATGTCCACATTGCTTAAGAAAACAGCTACATGGCATACTGGCAGATGCAATGAATTGACACTCTAGAATAAATGGAATTCATTTTGCTACAAATTAACAAAAAATTTATGTGAGAAGTTTTTCATATGATTTATACTTGTTTGGTTAGTAAGAATTTTATTTAGCTGAGATTTCAGCATCAAGAAACTGTGCACAACTTATATTTTATATATTGTCCACACCTTCCACAGAGCCTGGCATGTAGAAAGTTCTCCACGGATGTTAAGTGAATTCTGCTATATTCCTAGTTGTCAAAGGTTTAGGAATAATGACTTAGAATACGGTTTGTTTCTTGTTCAAAAGAGAACAAGATAAAAAACCTGCGTACGTCCCAATCCTTTGATTATTCCATAGGTATCTTTTACTTCTCTGTGACTACATTTCCTCATATGGAAAAATTTTTATGGTTTTAAAAGAGCTGGCAGTCCTGTGACTAGGGTGAAAGGGACTCTGTAACTTCCAAGACTATAAACTAGATAATTAAAGGATACAGCTTCTACCTGGCTCTTTCTGTCTCTCTGGACGCTTGCCTGAAACCCAGCCACTGTGCTGTGAGGAAGCCCAAACTAGCCCACACAGTTAGATCCACATGGAAAAGGACCAAGGTTCCCAGCCGACAGTCAGGCATAAGAGAACCCTGAGATCAGTACAGAACCAAACCTTTGGTTCCCTGCCTCACCTCGGCTAATGCCACAGCGAGCAGAGATGAGCTGATACCATTAAGCCACGTCCAATTACAGATTCATGAGCAAAGTAATGTTCACTGTTTGTGTCACTAATTCTGGAAAATTTGTTAGGTGAAGTCCTAGGAAGTAGGAAAACTGCATATCGAAAGCATGGCTTATTAAATTAAAATATTTAATATTTGAATTAAGTAATACTCAAAATATATAAGGCTTCATCATATTTTTAAATTATAAAATAATTGATCATTATTTGATCAGTGCAATATATGAATAAGTACATGCTTGCCTGCCTGCCTTCCTTCCTTCCCTCTCTTCTCCTTTCATCTATCTGCCCATCCATCCATCTCTACATCCATCCATCCATCCATCTGTTCATCTATCATCCATCCACTGTCTCTAAATTTTCATACCAACGAATGATTTACCAGATTGACCAGCATATTGTTTGGTATACAGATAAAGATGCAAGATTCATGAAGTTGAAACCCATTTCTGAAACTCACATCATCACCTAAGAATTAGTTGAACTACTTTTGATATTTAAAGTTCTCCACAATAAATTTGTACTTTTGTAGTCATTACTGATGTTTTCATTTGCATATATAATGTCCTGGAAAAATATAGATTTGGTGTCAAAGGACCTCAGATCTTGCTTTAGAATCACCACTCAGTGGTTAAGTTATTTGTATTTACGGGTCTTAACTTCCTCATCTTTAAAAAGAGAAAATGATTATTTCATTCAGTTGTGAGAAGTAAATGAGATCCAGCAATCCCTCCTTAACCATGGTTTCAGTTACCTGCAGTTAACACCAGTTCAAAAATATTATATTGAAAATTCCCAAAATAAACAATTCATTACTTTTAAATATGTGCCTTTCTAAATAGCATGACAAAAATCTCATGGCAACCTGCTCTATGCCACCGGGAGCGGATCATCCCTTTGTCCAGCGGCTCCCTGCTGTACATGCTCCCTGCCCATGAGTCACTCAGTTGCTGTCTTGATTATCACATCAACTGTCGAGGTATCACAGTGCTTGTGTTCAAATCACTCTTATTTTCCTTAATAATGACCCTAAAGTGTAAGAGTAGTAATGCTAGCAATTTAGAGATGGCAAAGAGAAAAACGATAAAGTGCTTCCTTTAAGTGAAAAGGTAAATACAGCACAAAAAGATATTTTGTGTGTGAAAGAGAACACATTAACATAATTTGTATATATTGTTGTTAATCTCTTATTGTGCCTAATTTATAAAGTAAATTATCATAGGTATGTATATGTAGGAAAAGGCATAGTAACATATGGTTCAGTATTATCACTAGTTTCATTCCCATGAGGATATGAGGGACTACTGTAATACGTTTGAAGGGTAGAATACATTTATTTTAAATTATCATAAAGAGGTGAAGGCAACTATATGTTCACTTTAGTGTTTCAATGATAATCCAAATTGGAAAACATTATAGGTTATAAACATATATGCCCATTTCTCTTTAAAATTTCTCTCTCAGCCTAAAGATCATAGTGTGTATCTTATTTGAATGAAAGAATTATGACCTTATGTTTTTCAGAATAGCACACAAGAAAAAAGGTTTTCAGGACATCTCTCTTTTCTTCAGATACCAGGAATTAAAAAAAAATTAATTGAAAAGTATTGGAAAGCACTGACTCAAGGAACTCTTGACCAAAAAGAGTTTATCTATTATTCTTGGTACAACTTGTACATTTCCTTTGATCATCAACTTAATTCAGCCACTCTAGATTCCTGGTTTGTGCAGAGTCTAAATCTTCCACTAGGGAAATGTTTATTTTTCTCTTGATACACTGACAACAATTGTAAAGCACAAACTAATAGCAGCAGTAATCTAGTAACAAACTTAAAATGTTAGAGGCATTAGGAAGAGAAAATTTACATTTTAGTTTCTGATTCAAACTTGCCGTCATTGCCCCCTTGAAACTACTCCACTCAACAATTATTTAACTTGATGGCAAATTTAACTGGTTGACCAATGCATGAAAAAACAAATATATTTGTTGATAAAAGTTTGCTGATAAAAGTTTTACCAGAATCCTTTGTGGAACCTGAAAACTGAACACCATTTCTTTAATAAGAAAATTATACATTTCCTTTTAGTAATATGCATCCACTTACAAGTTTGTGAACTCCTTTTATTTTCTTTGCGAAATCTTATTAGTATTATGGCTCCCCATTTGAGGAACATTCTTTTTGATCGATTTTACATTGTTTATGAATTCACTTCTTATGTCTACCCTTGGTTATGAAAATAAGATACATTCATAGGAATCACACATTGAAAGCAGAAGAAACCCACAGAATCTTGTGGGCCGTTAATTAATGAATCACCCAACTATATTTTTCCTTTAGTTAACAGTTGGGGAAAGTATGAATTGGAGAGTTCTCATGTCCTACCTCTCTTGTTCAGTTCATTGAAAGACTCTAATTATATTGTCAATATAGCTGGAGGCTTTACAGGTTGGTGTCACATGCATATTAAATATGCAAGCATATGTTTGTAACACTATAGAACACTCTAAAACAGTACAGTATGGTCATAGCAGTACTTACCCACCAGGAGGTAGTATGCTTTACAAGCATTAGTTTTATTGTTTCTTTTAGAAATAAAAAAATACTGTCCAAGAAGCTTTTAGCTTATCTATAAGCCAGTCAAAGTACATTTAATTGTAAATTTTCTTACCTCTCTCATAGAAATATTTGATCTAAAATATTTAAATTTCATCAATAATCTAAATATTATACACTATAACAAATATTTAAATCTGAATTTGATTTTAACATTTTATTTGTTCTATATCATTTTAAATTTTTTTGATTTTGCTTACAATCTTGGAAAAGTTTTCCCTAATCCTACATATATAGTTCATTTATGCACAGAATTTTATGTTAGAATTCATGTATGTTTAAAGTAATTCAGTAACAAAGGTGAATATAAGGCATTACTATGATATCTATGATATTGGATGATATATACGATTATATAAACATTTTGAGAGAAATGATAGAAAGCAATAACATGGTAGAAAGCGTGGTAGAAAGCATTCTTTAGAAGATGACTATAATAATGACATTAAGTTTTATTTTTAATAGTTACTAGTTATATAGTTTTGATGATAACATTGCTACAACCTCTCTCTATTTTTATTTTTATTTATTTTTTAACATGAGCCAAAGTACATCTTTCTCAAGTTTATGCAATCACTTGTGGCTATTTGTGCTCTTTTGGATTTCTGGAAGATTCAGTTATAACTGAATATGGCACCTATGAAGCGTTGACACATATTAACAAATTCCGTGATTTCTAAAAGTAGCACAGTAGTTTTGAAGTCACATTAAGGAGTTCATTTAAAAACTTAACCAGATTGCTATGATACTAAAACCCAAGACAATTAAAAGGGAGCAATGTGATCAAAAAATGATAGTCCCAGTTAAAAAGAACAAAAGTACAAATCCACACTTCTTATCCACTGGTTATTGACTATTGTCCTTAGTAGTTGGCTTATAAAGTGCATGCTAAAAGAGACACAAAGACATAATTTTCCTTTGACATACTGAAGGAACAACCTGAACCTTTCTACCTCTATGGCATTTATAACTGTGGCATATGTACTTCTCCCAAAAAACTATGCCTTCTTGATATCAGTTGGCTCTCTCACAAGTACTTTGCTTGGTGCCAGCTTCCCTTTTAGCTTGCACAGCTATAAATTGCCAAGTGATGGGTTGTAAACGGAGATCCTTGCTTTGTAGTTTCATTAATGAATTAGAAGATGCAAATATCAGACTTCTTACCTTGAACTGACAGACGCAAGTCACAGTGTCTCCAATTCTTAAACATTCCCCATCAAATTTACAGGTGTTGGTGTCACAGAGGAAGAGATCATTTTCTCTGTCATCATAACCTCAAATTTAAAGAAAACAACCCAGTCATTTAAAAATGTCATAGACTTTAAGAAAGATAGTGATATCCTGAAACTTTAAAGAATTACTCCAAATTTTAAGTCTTACAATCACAGCTGTATTGCAAGGCCATTCTACTGATAACCTAAAAAAATCATGTTAAGTAATCAATATTGTGTTTTTTTCCCCACAGTTCCTTTCTAATCAATTCTCTTCTAATATCCTTTTTTTGATAGTGCTATTTTACTTTAGCTTGGGTTAATACTGGCAGTGCTGAATTAATGTTTAACACTTGCTTCCTAGCTTCCTTATTTTTTTTTTCATTAAGTGGACTATAGTTTATGACCCCCACACTCCACATTTTATTTACAAAACTGGTGATGGTCCCTGAATGCCATTTTACCATTTCTTTATTTTTAATCTTTCTTTTGCTTTATGGCTTGAAACAGCTTCTTATTTGGAATTTCTCCAGACAAAGAGGAAACAAAGCCCCAATAATAAAGATAAACAGGCACAGTGTTTTCTGTGATGGTCTGTCTGGCTCAAATGAAGATTGATCACCTCTAACTTAACAGGGATGGGGGTGTGGGGTGCTAGGTTCTTGACGATCAGCCTGGAAACCCAGTTTATTCTCTTTAGTTTCTGCAGATCTCTTTAAGATATCTGGCTAATAATGAATTTCTTCATTGCCAACTTCAATTTCACATTTAAGTTAGTTATTTCCTAAAACAATACTACAGGTAGGGATGAAGCAAACCAGTCATGTGGGCTACAAAGCTATCAACATTTCAAATAATTGATTTTGCAGGTTGTTTAATATTCTTTTGATAAAGTACTTAAAAAGTGATTAGGCACCTGCTAAGTGGAAATTTATCTTTCTGAAATAACATAATGCACATGTGAACCACAAGTAAGTTAAAGAAAACATGTTGAGTTTTATAAAAATGCCACATTTAGAAATTGTTAAAAACAGAACAAAGGCAATCTATTGACCCAAATCTAACAGGGTTGCAAAACTTATCTGGTATTTAAAAAGAACAAACTACAATGGTGCATAATATCACACTAACAACCCAGGACTACATATCCTTTCATCCTATAAGTTACAGTTGGTCATTACGTTTTCTCCAAAGTTACATACACTTCTGACATACATCCTTTGAAAGCCCCTTTATTTACAGTCAGATATAACTACAGAAGCATCGTATTTACAGAAGATGAAAAATCACATACACTCTTGCTAAAACTAGAACAGACCATACCTAGGGAACAATACCAAGGCGTGTTAATGGAGTTTAAAATGCCAGGGAAATCACACCACAATCCCTCCTGGTATACTAAGGGCTGTCATACTGAAATGCGGAGCCAGCTCAGAGTGCAGCAACTTCCATTCGCGGGCCCTATTTCATCAGGAGGCTTCAGCAAAGCAAAGCCTGCCAAGCTCTGGCATTCAGACTCTGAAGGAACCCAAGCGAGAAGGAAGAGCGCCTGATCCACTCCAAGGAAGACTGTTCAGAAATGGAGGAGTCAGCGCCCAACGGGGTGGGTTCCTCTCTCCACATGGTTGCCCCTGAGCCTGGCTGCCCTTGGTCATGCCCACCCCGGCCTGGGAGACCTAGGAATGATTCTTTCCTCAACTTCCCTCCACCACCTAGGAGCTTGCGGAGGCAAGAGAGAGGCATCTGTGGGCTGCCAAAACAATGTCTTTTGCAGCCAAGGAGAGAGAAGGGGGTGCGGGGGGGGGAGAGAGAGAGAGACAGAGGGGGAAAGAGAGAGGGAGAGAGAGAGAGAGAGAGAGAGAGAGGGGGAGAGAGAGAGAGAGGGAGAGAGGGAGAGAGAGAGAGAGGGAGAGAGGGAGAGAGAGAGATTGATTTTGAATCTCTTGAAACACAAGCTCCTTTAGAATCTGCATGACCCGGTCTTGAACGCAAGACTAGTGCACTTTTGCCAAGAACCAGTGTTTCCCCTGCAGTCACCATTTGATTTATTGCTTTCTCGGTCGTTCTTTCTCATAAAGTTATCTCTAGCTCATTCTAGCTAGACTTTTTATTTTCCTTTAATGATGTTTAAAGATTCTATTTTAGTGTTTCCCCAAGGATGATGCTCTCTTCAGTGAGTCCACAAAATTACCTTGTTTAGTATTTCTCAAAATCTTCGTCGTTCTAATTTAAGTGCAAGGATGCAAAGATTCCTACACCTGCACTTTCTGCGTCTCCCGCCCCCCTCCCCGACCTTTCCCGCGGCCCCCCGCCCCCCATTCCCTAGCGACCTGGAACAGTTCTCTGTTCCCCTCTGGGTGGAGGTCCGTTGTCTCCGCGCTTTGGGGCAGTAGGAGTTGAGGGGCTGGGAAGACGCGCTAGGGTAGTCTGGTCTGTGCTGGAAACTCGTGTTTTCTTTGCGGGGTTAAGCGTTCGGAGGCTGGGGTTCTGGACTTACCAGAGCAGTTCCAGCCGGTAGGTGTTTGGCAGTCACTTAAGGAGGTAGGGAAAGCCGCAAGCTTCACAGGGCGTGCTACGATGAGTAGCATGATGGGCAGCAGCAGCAGCCAGCAAAAGCCCTCGCAAAGTGTCCAGCTGCTGCACTGCCGCGGGGACTCCCACAGCACCATGACTAGTTCGCGCAACTCTGCAGCAGCAAACGGCTTCCGAAGAACACACTATCGCGGGGGCCCGACAGCGGGCTACTGAGCATCCCGCGGACGGCGGCAGCAGAAGCAGCGGCGGTGGCAGTGGCACCTAACGGCGAAGCAGCAGCCAAACCCGCGCATGATCTCGAGAGTTTCAGCAACATCCAGTGACCCGGCTCAGCTCCGGCAGCGAGAGGGTCGTCCGCGGAGAAGCTACGCCGGAGACGCGGAAAGCTCCTGCCATAAGGAAGGGGCTCTGGAAGCCGAGGGAGCAGGAGACCAGAGCCCAAGGACAGAGGAGAGGAGCCCTAGGAGGCAGGGTGGAGGAAAAGTCAAAACGCCCCGCAGCCAAGCAGCCGCCGCTCGCGTTCTGCTGCCCGCATCCCTCTGGCGTTTGGGAAGCAGCAGGTCCTTAGCCCGCCCGGGATCACGTGGAAAGAGGCAAACGCGCGCTGATTGGCGGAGCGGGATGCAGGTCCCGAGAGGGAGGGGTCGACTAGGAGGTGCAAGGAGGAGGCGACGGCGGATGCCACAGATGGGCTAGCTCGCCAGGCTCTGGCCCGAATGGGGCTAGAAGGGGAGGACTCAAGTGAAAAGCGCAAGCTTCTGGGTGGACGAATCTCACACCTGTAAAGAATACCACCTGCCCTTTCACTCTCTGCCCTCTACCGAGAGCTGTGTCCACTGTAGCGCCCCACTTCCGTGCGTGACCCCGGGTTGCGGCCGGGTGGCATCTCTCGTAGCTGGAGCTGGTGAGGGCTGAGGTGGTGGAGAAGCAGTAGGAGCAGGGCAGAGAGGGGAAAGCGGGCGCAGAGGAGAGGGCGTCCTGCTGGCGCCCGGCGCTCCAGCGTGCGGGAGCGCGCCGCCTGGCTGTCACCGGATACAGGCTGGGGATACGCTGCGGAGAGCCCGGGGACATTTCTCTAGGGAGTAGCAGGGAGCTGGGGAGGACGAAAGGCGGTGGTATGAGGACAGCGTTGGCTGGCCTGGAAGCTGCAGCAGTTCCCACAGGAGCCTGAGACCCTGAGGCTGCTCTCCGAGCTGGCTCGACCTGCCTCCCAGGCTCTCTCCTCTTCCTTTCCTCTCTCTTCTGCCCTCCCTGGCGCCCCCGCAGCCCCTACACGGCGCGAGGAACCGAAGATTTGGAGACCTCTCCCCATGCCACACTCATCTCTGGCCGGCAGCCTATTTGTGTTGCTACCTGGGAGGTGCGGGCAAATATGTTTAGAAGATCAGATTTGGTCGGGACAAGTGGTCAGAGAGAGGAAGGGAAGGCTCCTCTGCATCAGCAACGGGTGGGTTGCCGGGCACATTCTCCGGGAAGCGGCGCCTGAGAAGAACTGCTCGGCTGGACTGGCGGCGCGGGTAGTGGCCCTGGGAGCTTTACGCTGGTCTCTGCCGGGTCGCCAGTGACCTGGGCCGGGAGAGAAGGTCTAACTTGCCAGGAATGTTTCGCTCTGCGCTTTGCTTGCTTTCGCTCCTGCCGGCGAGGGGCAAACGGTGTAGCGGGACCCGCCTTCCGCCTGCTGCATTCGTCAAGCAGTTAGACACACTCTTTAGACTAAGGGTATTTTAATCCTTCGTAACGGGACCCGCAGCTTCCTGGGACACGGATGGAAAGGAACATCTTTCTCTCTTTACCCTGGTAGTTATTGCAGTGACATTGTTTTGGATGAGTTTTCTTTGCTAAGTGATTGTTCAGTGTTTAATGTGTGATCCTTCAGTGAGTGATTCAGGATTTTTTTTTTCTTCTGTCCCCGCAACCGCCCTCCCTACTCCACTCTCTCTCCTTCCCTTCCTCTTTCCCTTCTCTTTCTTTCCTCCCTTCCTTCCTCCCTCCCTCCCTTTGTTCCCTCTTTCCTTCCTGAAGCCCCAACTCCTCCCTTTTTTTCCTCTCTTTTTAAATTCACCTTTCTCTCTCTCCTGTGCCACCTGAATTTAGAAGAGCATTGTTTTGATAACATCTCACGGGCAATTTACGTCCATCACCAATCACTTAAAAGAGGCACCAATACACTTTGAAAACAGGGACTAGCATCCTTTGCAGGCTAAGGAAACCAGGAAAAAAACAAACAAACAAACAAAAAAACAAAATAAACCCCCCCCCCAAAACCTGTACTCTGTACCCGAGCTGTCCTTTTAAGTACTTTAATCTCTAACCTCCTCCCACTTCCTTGCATTTTAACTTCTCCTTTGAGAGATGTGATCATGCAGCACCTCAGTGTCTCAAAGAAATGGCATTTTTTTTTCGCATGTGAAACCCATTCCTTCATCTTACTTATCCGCCTCCGCCAGGGGATTGCCCCCACCCCACCCACGCCCACCTCCAAAGAATTCTGAATCTCAGTCTCTCTCACTCCTGACAATTAAGCAGCAGATCCCAGCATTCTAGTCGGTGGCATCTCGCTCCTCACCGACGAAGACTCCATTAAAACAGATCAATTTGACCAGACGTTAGAGGCATCAGAAAATCGGCTTCTAGACAGCGCAGCTAAATTCAAGGAAAAGAAATGCCCATTAGATAGAGCTGCCAGCCGACATTGCATGGGGCCGGGGGGCGGGGGCGGGGGGAAGAAGAGGAAGAAGGAATCAGAGATGTCTTTTGATGCTGCCCCCTTTCAGCAGAGATAGCAACATAAATATACACTTAATATACATCAAGGTTTAACAACTCTCCAGTCTGAGTGAGAGCATGTCGTTTTCCATAGCAAGGCTGGTGTGGTAACTAATCAGGCTTAAGAAAATAAGTCATGCTTGAAACTAAAGGCAAAGTCTTTAAAAGTGTTTATGCAGTAATTATGATAATGAAATAGGACCTGCTAGAATATTAGTGCTTGGCTCTATAAGTAGAATTTTACAGAACCTCTTAGCAGAGTAAAACTGTTATTGAATTCTCTCTTAAGTAAATTTTTGGCACACTTTCTAGCAATACGTACTCTTCCTAAGACATTTTGCCCAAAGTAACTTAAAACTCCAAAGGAGTTAATTACCAGTTGTGACTGGTTAACAAATGCAGTTGCTTCCACAGAGGTTCTTTAAATTATTAAACAGTTGGAAGCAAAGCATTTCCAACAGGAATGCTGTGATTTTGTTCAGCTTACTTTGTACTTAGTGTTATAGTGCCACCAAGAAAGAAATTCTGAAACTGGCAAGCACCACCAAGTGGCAGAAGAACATCATTCACCAAACAGACCATAATATTGTTGAACATGTAAATAAAATATATATACATTATTTAGCATCATCATTAGTACAAAGGAAGTAGACAGGCATTAAATTTTATAACAATGAAGATTAGATTAGTGATTGGACTAATACTTCAACTTTTCCCCTAACAGGGTTTAATCATATTACTTATTAGAATTAAATTTAAAACTAGGTCTACTAATTGTACTTTGCATTGGGTGTTTATATGATTAGTAGTAATACAATACCATCATATCATGAACTTGCAAAGTTGCTTTTTAAAAATTGTACACAATATTTGTTTTGACTATTCCTGAGTTAAAACAGTTTATTTAAAGCACACACACTCTAGAATTGACTCTGAGGAAGTAAAATAAAGTTGTAATATTATTAGGTAGCAATAACACGAATCATTTTCCAGAAAAGTTAAAAAATTTTTTTGCACATGCAAAGTGATTCATTAGGAAGTGGAACATAAAATGGTGACTTAGGCCTTGAGCTTCAGGTCCTCTGAAAATGAAAACTGTGACTGAGAACACATCTGCTCTGCCCATGCAGCCTCTTTGTCTGCCCTTAACATGGAGCACCAGTAAGACCCAAACTCCCAAATGCACCAAATCTCAACAATGAGCAATGAAATTTAGTGTGTCATACTTGAAATGAATATGAATTACTTGAGGGGTCTTTTAAAAAATAGATAGGAAAAATTCTAGATCTCATTACTAGGAATTCTAATTCAGAAGTCTGGGGTTAGCCCATGGAATCTATATTTTAAAATCATCTTTGAGAACTAAGACACTCTTATGTCACAAGTTAAAAAATATCTAGGTTCTTGCTCAGTTTTCACAGGACTTTTGGCAGAGAGTTTTTTAAGACAGGATGAGGGCTTATACTCAGTGTGCAGATGAACTGCTGTACACATCTGTCTATCTACCATTGAGAACTGAATTTTTGTGGGCGTACATTCACCAATATGAATTAAACTTCAAATTTGTCTGACTTACTACTTTTGTGACTGTAAAGTTTTCCTCATTTGGAAACTGTGGATAGTAATGACACCTACCTCCAAGGGTTTCTCTGAAGATTAATGGAAATATGATTTAATTTTGATGGCCTTGAGAAGAATGCCTACATAAATGAATGAATGAATATACAAATATGTATGTGTAGTTATACTGAAATATAATCAAAAGTAATTAAAGATATCAAGTTATTTGTCTATAATATTAAATATGTACATAATATGTTGATTACTGATAATGAAGTATAGTATTATTTTCATACCTAATCCAATATCATAACATTTTGTTCATTAATTTCTAGCCTATCTCAGATAGATGGATAGATATTCTTATGTCAGATAGGTAGGTAAGAAGGTAGGTAGATAGGCAGACAGATGGATAATAATGTTCCCAATATTTATTCCCTTAGTTTTATTTATAATTTGTTAATATTAAATGCTCATTATAATCTTGGTAATTAATAAATATATGAGAACATTAAGTGTTTAATTTGTAGATCAAATGTCATTGACAATGTTTCAGAGAAGTCATCTTCATTTCTGGTTGACTTTTTTAACTGGGTAATTAAATTGGCTATTTTTTCCAATTTTTGATGCACAAATAATCAGTAGTGATTTAAAGAAATAATTTTGTAATGTAAAAGTTTCCTTATGACTTATAAACTCCTGTACCCTTAATTATTTTTGATAGTTTATGTTTGGATTTATAATTTCAGTCCTGGAGAAATAATTTATTTCCTCTTAGGGCAGTGATTCCCAGTCATAATTAAATATTATAATCACCTGGGGAAATAAAAAATACTGATGCAAAGTCCCCATTCCACATTTGGAATCTCTGGAGGTGAGGCAGAGGCATCGGTATAGTTCTTAAAGTGTCCCTGGCAATTGTAAGGCATGCTCTTGGTGTTGATTGCCACTGCCAAGAGGAAAGTGAATGAGTGGCTGTTTCCTCATCATCTAAATTATCCAAGTTTCATCAGGTAAAAAGAGTGATTGTTTCACTTAAAACATTAAAAATAGACATCTCACAAAAGGTTCACTTTGATTAAGATATTTAACCAAAACAATATGCAACAGTTAACATTTGCCAATATTTTGGCATTTGATATTTAATTAAATCACAGCATTA